GCTATAGTATCACAGCTCATAGCAACCTCCAGCTCTTGGGCTTAAGCAGTTCTCTTGCCTCAGCCTCCTGAGTAGCTAGGACTACAGTTGACCACCAGAATGTCTGGCTTTTTTTTGTTACAGTTTGGCCGGGGCCAGGTTCGAACCCGCCATCCTCAGTGTATGGGACCGGTGCCCTACCCACTGAGCCACAGGCGCCACCCAGGATGTGTTGACTTCTGAAAAGTTAAGGATTTATAGGAGGCAGATGGCTTTTTCTGACGAATAATCTCTTTCATTTGTTAAGGTCTTTGTAGTTTCAAAGTGCTGTCACTGCCATTACTTGAAAGTGTCCTATGAAATAGCTAGGCAGGAAAGGTAGGTTTTACCCCCTTTCTGTATCTGCGCCAATTGAGGTCAGGGCAACTAAGTCACGCACTAACACAGCTGGGCAGTTGCAGATGTGGAACTTAGACCTTCAAACCTGTATCTTTTCTCTTTGGTTCTGGTGGGGTTTTTTTTTCCATTTCACCATGTTGAAAATGCCCTGAAAAGTATCAAATGGAGAGGAGTGTGTGTGTGTGTATGTGTGAGAGAGAGAGAGAGAGAGCGTGAGCTGGGGGTGGAGGGGATGAGGAGAAATAGTAAGCAGGTCCAGAGAGGTAGAAAGATTTTAATTAAAAGTCAGTCTGCCAGGCTGCAGTTGAGAAGGGAAGTAGGGAGAATAAATCTCCACCTAAGCAAGACTGATAATGCAAGAAGGAATGAGGGATCAGGGTTCCTGTGAAGGCTGTGGCGGGATGGGAGGGGCCACAGGAAAACACATGAAAGCAAAAGAGAGCTTTGCCAACAAAGGGTAGGCAGGTGGACTATGGGTTGACATCAGGAGGTTCATGGAATAGAAACTGCTTTGCTGAAGGGGGCAGAATCTCTCGGTGCGAGAAGACTGATACAGTAGCTGGATTTGGAGTAATAAATCTTTACCACCTGTGACTCCCCAGCCTAGACTGCTAGTCTGCAGATGCCCCTCTGAAGAGGAAAATAGTCCTCTTTGGGTGTGTGAGTAAAGAGGGAGATGTGCTGAGCTTTGGTCTGTGATCTGCTACATGGGGGATGACTCTTTATGTTGCTCTTCAAAGTAGGTTAAGCTAAGAAAATGATTTGGCTCATGTAACTGAAGATCCAGGTAGGGGTGATTTCAAGCGTAGCCTGAATCAGCAGCTTACGTGATGTTAGCATAACCCGTAACTCTCTTTCTCTACTTTGTAGTCCCCAAAGGTAGCTTTGTCCACATGGGAACCCCATGACATAGGTTCTCCCCTCGCATGTGTAAAATGGTTGCA